GTAGAATTAGAGTCCTATTTTTTTACTAAAATTTTGCTTCAATCAACTGTGGCTAATTAGTAAGATTTGCTGCTTGCACATGGGGTGATCAGAGTTTCTAAAGCGCAGAAATGAATAGTCAAAGCAAAATATTTTCCTTTTTCTTAAAAATGACTCTTCCTTGCAGACTGCGTACAGTTCCAGCAAGCCCAAGTATGAAGCTAGCAAGGTGCGGTTCCGTCCTCGGAGGCTGGGCAGCTCCCCTCCCCTCTGATAATTTATCATTTTAATTTTGATTTGTAAATGTTTTATGAAATTAAATGCTGGGAGAAGCACATTTTGCCTCTAGACTAGAGGAAGTTGCCACAGGAGGGAGGAAAGGGCATGAACGGTCTGTTGCGCCGCCTCGTGGCTGGGATTGAAACCGCGTCCTGGAGGAAAGCCGCCTAACAGACCCGAGGCCGGTGCCCACAGGAAGGCGGCGCCCACCCGCACCCCCGGGGCACAGCGCCTCCGCCTGCTGCCAGGGGAGGGGCGGCGCCCACCGCACCCCTGGGGCACAGCGCCTCCGCCAGGGTCTGCGCTGGGACCCGGGGCACGGAGCCCGGAAAGACCTCGTCGTGGGGGGAATGAGTCCAGCCTCCCAGGCAGACGCGCCCACACGCCGGAGGCCTGAGCCGGAGGGGGGCCCCTGCGTCCAGTCCTACCAGCTTCGCTTTGGCAGCGATGAGTGTTGCTGCGGGGCTTTGGGGTGCCCTGAGCAATGGCTATGACCAGTGCGCTCCATTCCCCTGCCCGTCCGAGCGCTGGAGGGCGCCCCACACCTACCCACGGCCAGAGGACTCAGCTAGGACAGCACCTCGGTGGGTGGGCGGTGGGGCAGTGACTGAATCACGTGATGTGCTCAGGCAGCCCTGCACTTGGTCGTTGTCATTCCTGTTCTTACTGAGACGCAGCCATCCCCCGGTGTCCGCTCAGGTAAGGGCGCGCTGCCCTGGAGGGTGGGTCCCGTGCTCCACGTCGGCTAACGCGACCTCCGCTCTGCACCGAGGTGCACCTGGGTCCCGAGTCGCTCAGGACTCGGAAGCCTGCCATTATCTACTTTGCAAATTCCTTCTCCCCGTCACCGCTGCTCCCACACAGCCTGGCCTCAGCAATGGCCAGCTGGGGCGGGTGCCTGCCTGGACCCGCCCACCAGGGCTCCATGGGCCTGGAGCTCCCGGTGGAGTCCCTGTTTGTCCCTGGGAGTGACTTACAACCCGCGAATTATAAATTACTGGTAACGCCCCTTTCAAAGAAGCAGGGATGAGCCTGGAAACGGAGAAGTCCTACAGGTCCATTTTACCAACTCTACAGTCGTGCTCAGAGCTTGCCGTTATGAAAAGAACTTCCTAATATAGCAACTACCATCTAACCTGTAGCTTATGTTTTGAATAAAAATAGAATTTCTCCCAACTCCATTCAAGTCTCCAGAATTCTGTTCCCATCTGCACCATCGCAGTGTTTACACGGCACCGGGTCCCCTGCTGAGAGCGGGATGGCAGCTGACAGTTTCATTCCTTACATCAGACTGGTCACTTGGTGCCTAGCGGGCCCCCAGCCCTGCGAGACCTGGGGATACAGGAGTGACTAACACAAATCTGCCCTCAGGAGCTCCCTGCCCCCATCTCTCCCCCTTCTCTCTCTCCGTCTCCATGCTCTTCCTCTGGCACCCATTGCACCTGTGATCCTAGGGAAACAGTCCGGCTTCCTGTCCGAGGTTCCCTCGGCTAAGAAGCAGCGATTCGTGCACAGCCCGTGGGAACAGACAATAGTGCGGTGAAGGCCTGGGTGGGGCAGGAACAGTGGAGGGCCAAGGGGGGAGAAGGGGTATGGGGGTACGTTCTCTCGACCAGCGCCAAAGGAGAGAACGCGGGGGTTCAAGAATCTTGATTAGAACGTGACGAGGGCTAAGGAAGAATGAAAAATGAAACAGACAGAAATAGAGGGAAAAGCTGGGCCTGGGTGTGGGTCTACCCTCTGGTAGATGAACGGAGCTGGCAGAACCGCGTGTTTAATTTATACCCAAATACCAGGAAGTTACGTCAGTCTGGGTGGGCCTGACTGGTGGGCAGGAGGAGCAGTCAGGAACCGAGGGCTTGGCTCCACCTCAGGGCCCCTCCCACAGGGCCGGGCCAGTCAGAGGGAGGAGGGTCCTGTTCATTCCTAGTGCTTGGCTGGATTTACAGTATAAAACCCACTCCCCAGCACCTGGGCAGCAAAGAGAAGCGTCAATGCCGAGAACACATGGCCTTCTTGGTTAGATGTGTATCCACGGCTCGGCTCTGCCAGCCACCTTAGGCTCACTGACAATATTTTAGGAAGCATGCCCATGTGTCTTCCCTGGGGGGCCCTCTTCAAAGGGGGACATCTGTGATGCTCTCAACAATAAAAACAAATTTAAAAATAAAATAAATAAAAAGCAGAGGGGATGACCACGTTAACTAATTCGAGGCATCACAGGGAGTTCGGAAAAAGCAAGAAACTAGTGAATGCGATGCAAATGTTATGTGTTAATACAGCTTCACCGTTAACTCTTACGCAGCCCCTCTCCCTCTGTAGAAAAGGGGACACTGAGGCAACAGTGGCTGTTCCCTGACTTCCTGTCCTTGGAATGTCCCCGCTGACACCTGCACAGCAAACGGAGGTGCATCCGCGGAGGAAGCGAACCAGATGAGACATCTTAGTCACACAGCATTGGAGCAACATGTGTTCCAAGAAAATCATCATTTCCTGGGAGGGGAAATGCAATTGTTTCCAAACCACTCATAACACATAACGACTTCACAACACAAACTCCGTTCCACCGGCCTGAGCGCTGGTGAGAAGGGGAGCGGTCCGCCCGCCTCCGGCCCACCGCGGCCAAAGGCCTGGCGTCTGCCACAGAGTCACTTAACCGATGAAATGTAAACTGTAAGTCTTTATTACAGTTTGGAAGAAGCAAGAAACTAGGGAATGCAATGCAAATGTTATGTGCAGTTAACAAAAATTCCTATTTAGAGTGGTTCCAATGTTTCCCCTGAGGACAGCTGCTGTGAGCGGAAAGCTGGTGGGTCTGCTCTGAGGAAGGCTCCTCTGAGGCAGGCGTGGCCCCTGGTGGCTAACGCTTCCCACGGACCTTGCCAGTGCTTTCTGCCAGTGGCCCCTGAAGGAGAGAAGAAAAGACGCAATCCTCCGAAAAGGGGGTTGGTGCCTGCAGACAATCTCCGGATGTATGTTCTACTTTATTCCTGTTAAGGTTGACAAAAATTCAGTTGGAGTCTCATCGGTGCTTCTCCCAGACCCATCCTCCTCCCTGCACCCCACCACGATGATTTTTAGGGCGCCCTTCCAATCCCGGTTTTGTCATTTTACTTTGTGTCCATGTCAATGTCAGTGACCGCCGTAGTGTTTTGCGTGGTTTTCAGAGTTGCAGTAGTATGGACGGTGAGCTGAAGCTTGCTTCTGTGCAGAGCACATTGTTGAGTTCAGTCGTATCTATGTCTACAGAGAGAGGAGAGGGACCTGGCTTATTACTCTTAGCCACTCTAGGGTATTCGAACCTACAGATCTTCAATATCTGTGTCTGTCCTACTTGCCCTCGAATGACGCCCATGTGTGCCCAGATGCTCTCTGCGCTCCCATCTCTCCAACCGCGGCCCAGGCAGCAGCAAACGCCCCTCTCCCACCCCGGGCGCCTTGTGACAGGACTCGCTTCCACCACCAGTCACAGCGGCTCTGCTCCCTGACAGCATCCCCCCCCCCTCCCCCGGCATGCCTCTTCCATCTCCCACTGCTCTCGGCAGCCCCTCCGTCTCCTTGCCATGCTGGTTGGGAGATTGAGGCGGCTGCCTGGTGGCCCTGGCATTTTTCTATCCGGATCACCAGAAGCTACAGTCAGTTCATCTGAATGCTTCTCACCAATGGCTACTTGAAGTTATTCAATCACAAATTATTAACTTTCCTTATCCGTCAAGCAAGCCCGAGGTCAGAACTTCATATTGATCTAGGCCAGCTGGTTGCCACTGACATTGTTACAGAGAACGTTACTGGTGACTGCGAAGGGAATCAGAACCGTCACAGACAGGCACAGTCCGCTTCTCCTTCCCCTCCGTCTCAGCTCCCTGCAAAAGAACACCTCCCACGGGTGGGCAGGATCCCCACATAGGTGCCCCCCATAGGTGGGCAGGACCCCCCACGGGTGGGCAGGACCCCCACGGGGGGCAGGACCCGCCGCAGCAGGAAGCTGCTGTGCAGGCAGCTGCGGGGGAGGGGGGAGTAAAAGGTTTGGGAAAGCAAGAGATTCAAAGCCCCACAGAAGGGAGGCTGTGGAGGCACCGACAGGCTTTCCTTTCGCCTTTCATTCGATAAGTTACAACTCTGTGGGCAGAGATCACATCCAGGCAGTTATTCCAGCAAATAGCCTGTGTCTTACACTATCAAAGTCCATCTGAGCAGTCATCACCCCCAGATCAGTGACTTTGTGTCTATTATCCTACCTTTGAGGTGATGATAATTGAGTTAGGAAAGGAAGACATCAGACTTGCATTAATAACTGACAATAGTATGAAATGTTACAAAAAAAAATTCAGCCAAGATTTTGATATATGAAAGTCTTAATTGCTACTAATAATTATTATCACAATCATGAGTAGCTATCATCAATGAAGCATTAGGTTTTGCAGGAGTAAAATTTTGCCATTATGAGATAAGTATTATTTCCACCTCATTTAACAGATCAGGAAACTGAGGGCACCGGCGGTTAGGCAGTAATAGAGGCTGGAGACAGGATCGAACCCCAAATCTCTCGACCAGCACCCAAACTCTTGCTGTACCATAGCTTTAGGTTTGTGTCCTAAATTCTGGGTCAAGAAAAGACCACATCCACTGGCAACTAATATTTTAATGTCAACACAGAGTCATCTGTTGCTCGTCACTCCCATTTTCACGTCCGGGAGTACTGGCCGACAAGAACTGCTTTTCTCTCTCGCTTTCCTCTGCAGGGCTGTGACACCCAGATGCTTCATGACCTGCTGCTCAGGTTGAGGTCCACCGTCTGCTTACCTGGGGACTTTGTCTGCAGAAAGGTGAGTGTGCTATTCGTCACGCGCACGGCGGGTAACTAGGTACATTTTCACACTAGGTGTGAATTTGCCAGGCGGCCGTGGCCCAGTAGTAGTGATGGCAGACAGCTCTGTGACAACAGCAGTGCTCTCCGAGCTCAACGTGGGACATGACTCGGATGTCAGTACCTGCAGGACATAGATGGGTCGTCTGAAAAGTTGCCTTTTACGAACGTAAGCCATCAAGCATCACACCCATTGATTCCAAATCCTTAAAGAGGAGGGAAAGCTGGAGATGAAGGGTGGGCCTGCCCTCTCCTGTCGTCCACGAGCTGTCATCTACTCCCCTTTAGCTCCTCCAGTGAGTGATAATTAACTTAAAAATAAACATTTTTGAAAGTTACTGTGCTTTTCATGAAAAATGCTCCATGTTCATTACTTTTTAAAAGGAAAACATATAAAAGCTCCAAGACAGGAATTCTATCACCAGAAACAACCGCTGTCCTGTGGGTTGGCCTGTCCTGTTATACTGCATGAGGGGTAGTTTCAGAGACCGGCGTCACCCTGTACTTACGTTTGAAGCTTGTCCTGTCATGTAGCGTATTACACGAACATTTTACAGATTTTCATCTTCTACAGCCTCGTTCTTAGAGCTGCATCCTATTTCAGTCTATGACCATCATGACCAATTTCCAAATGTGTGCCGGTGTTTAACTCTACAGGGAGCATTTTCCTACATCTCTGAAGGCTAACGTGAGGGGGAGGGAAGGAATGATGACCTTGGGTTTTATGTCTCAAGAGACTAAATCCATAGTTAAGGCAATAACCAACATGAAAAGTAGAGGAAATGAGGAGTTCAGAGACATGAGAGCGATCCCCGATCCCCGACCCCGGAGCTCCCGGCGAGTGCGGCAAGGAGCACTGCGTCCTGAGTCACCTGTGCGCGCTGCGTGGGAGGAAGCTCGGTGCTGAGGACACAGTCCCACGGGCAGGACTTCCTGGAGAACATGACGCATGAACCAGGAGGAAACGGCACTCCAGAGAGAGGAGAGCTTGTGCGCTGGGGCAGGGAGCAGGGCTGGTCTGCAGAGCAGAGCGTGCAGAAAAGACTGTCACCAGCTCGAAAGCCTCAGTATTGTTAGTCAATGCAACTCATTACGTGTTTGGAATACGATGAGCCAGGCACTGTGCTGGGTTCTGGGGACAAACAGCAGTGAAAAAATCAAATAAAAGGGTTGTTCTTGTCCAGTGCCAGGTTGTTCGCCAGTGACTCACCAGCCCCAGCACTTGGCTGGTCTGGTGGGACCCACATGTCAAGCTTTTAAAAGCTCCCAGATGAGTCTTGCCCAGTTGGGCGGCTCAGTTGTGGAGCATCCACTCAGGAACCAAGAGGTCCCCGGCTCCATCCCCAGCAGGGGGCGTGCAGGAGGCAGCCGATCCAGGAAGTTCTCATTGATCTTTCTATCTCTCTCCCTCGCCCTCTCTCTAAAAGTCAATGTAAAAAGAAGCATATTTTAAAAGCTCCCAGGCAATTCTAAAATACAGCCAAAGTCGAGAATCACTGGCTGATGGGAGAGACAAGCAATAAACAAATGAAATAAGCACTAAGTGGAATGACGTGAACACGTTCCTCCCACACCTGCTGCTCTCCAAGGGGAACGAAGGCCAGGCAGTGGGCAATAGAGGGCGGCTGGGCAGGCGGGCGGCATGACCTCCAAAAACCTAACGAGACGGGAAGACTTGGAGCTGAGGCAGGACGGAGCGTGGCATGTCCAAGTGGCCTGCAGGGCAAAGGGTGAAGGCAACGTCCCGCCCAGTGCTGGGCACGCCAGGGCGGCGGGGGAGACCGTGGACATCAGTCTCCTACAGGAGAGAGGAGGGAACTGGAGGCCAGTCTTTGGGAACCACGCGTCACAGAAGCTGACTTCCTGGAAGCTCAAGTAAAGGTCTGGGACGAGGACCAAGGCCACACCTGAAGCGCCCAGTGCTTATGGAGGTCAGGGGGGAGCTGTCAGAGGCTGTGATTGATGGAAACCGAGAACATACAATCCCACACAATCCAGTCCCCAAAAGTGGGCAGCTCGGTGACATGAAACCACGGGCATTACAATGGGAGTGCAAACAGCCCAGCTTAAGGACCCTTCCGGGGCAGTGGTGCCTGGAATGACCCATCCACGGTGCCCTGGCAGCAGCACTAACGGCCGAAAGGAGGCAGCGGCTCTCCTGCCACTTTGGCTGATTCCTCACTCATGTCACACCCGTCACTCATTGAGCACAGATGCGGGGAGGAAGGGACTAGGCAGGGGAGCAGAGACGAGAAGGCAGAGGCCACAGCATGTTTCTCTGTTCGGCTTTGAAGAGGGGATTTGAGTCATAGTTGATAATGAGAGATGAAAGCTTGTCACTTGACCAGATTTTAGAAACCTGAATTACGCTTAGTTTTTGCTTATCGTTTCCACAAACCCCTGTAGCAAACGGAAAGGAAAAGAGACTCTGGTCTTTGGAGGTTGCCTGAGTAACTGAAGAAACGCCAGGGCTCAGGGTTTGCTGACCTGCCTAATCCTCAGGGTGGAGGGGGCGCGGGGGGCCTCCCCTACCGCGTGGCAGCGGGGCCTGCTTCACAGCGCATCTGGGAGTTTTCCAGGCACGAGTGGCAGAATTATTTGAGTGTCGCAGTGCTCCCAGCAGCCCTGCAAACAGCTTCCCCCGGGACTGAAACCGTGAGGGGTGCCACCCGCCCCACGCAGCTCTCGCCCTCTGCCTTCCTCCCCATCAGCACACAGCCAGCCTGGGGCAGGGTTTGATCTTGCTTTGCACACGCTCCCAGACCTTGTGCTCTGAGGACTGTCTACTTCACTCGCAAGCTAATTAAACTCGCAGGAAAGGCTTAAATTAGCCTAGAAATATGCAAGCAACCGTGGAAGTTTTGGTTCGTTGATTATGCCAAATCTCCTTGGAAAATTATTGAAATGATCGTTAAAAAATAATTAAAAGTGCTGAACTATATTTAAGCACCCATTATGTACTTCTGCCTCCTGGCAGCTGTAATAACTGCCTTTGGAAAATCACTCCAGCAACTCGAGCCTCACTCCATGCGGAGAATAAGGAATCTGGCCCTGTTCTAATCATTGCTTTTCTGAGAGTCTCTTGGAAAACTAATTTTCAGGTACTTCTAAAAATAATGCAGAGCGGCTTTGTTGGTTTCTAAGAGGCTGGTCTTGGTGTTGAGGCACTGTTGGGTGGGCGAGCTGCATGTGTTAGAGCCCAGTGACACGGCGCTGCTGCTGCTAAAGCCGCAGCTGCCAGCCTGGTGCGGTTGCTCAACACCAGTGTTCAAGCCTCTACCACCAGTTTTTAAATAACAGTAGTGATCTCTCTCCTATTTGGCCTCACTGGGGTTCCTGCAAGAATGAACGAGTTGCAGGAGGGTCGAAGGGGAATAAATGGCACTGGGCTTGGACCTGAGTGGGGTGGTACAGTGCACAGGTGATGTGCTGTGGAAATGTGCACCTGAACATGTATGATCTTGTTAATCAGTGTCACCCCAATAAATCAAATGAAAAGGGGGCTGAAAGAAAGAAATGAGTTAGTATCTATGAAAGTGCTTTGTAATTATAAAGTAGGATGTTCTGATAGAAGGAATATAGGAATTAAAATAAGGAGCAACGTAACTACCAGATATTATGATTTTTAAAAGTACTATGCAAATGCAAGATATTGTTATTAGCATTGATATGGAAATAACCCCAATAAGATCCATCTGTATTGGAAACTTGCTTTGATATGTACATGAGAATAAAGGCATGCTTAACATCCTGCACAGGGAAAACCTAAGCACACTGCCTGCCTCGCTCAGTCAGGAGATGTGTTTTCTGGGCTCTTTCTGCTTCTAATGTCTGTCATGGGGCTTTGGTCAGTCAGCTAAGTCAATCTGCGCCTTTCCTTTCTGTGAAATGGAAATAATACTTACCCTCCCTTCCTCATAAAGCTAATGGACAGAGGAAATGAGGACTTCAACTATACAGAGGTTACCTAAGAAGTAGAGTGCACCAATAATTATAACACAACAACAATTTGTGTTCAGGACAACAGCCCCTCGTGTTGAAAGACTTCAGAACTTCCCAGAGAGTGGTTGAGTTGTATCTCCCTCGTTCATGAATGAGTGGCTGTCTCACAAGCCTCTCTGCCCTGGCACACGGCGCACATCGCCGCCATGGCAGAGCATAAACTCGAGTCCCCATTGTTTCATCCTGAGTCAAGGTTAGTGCTTCTGACCTTTTGACAATATCTAGGGGCTCACTTCAAAAATACAACTAAAAGACAAAACGGACATCATCCAGAACCACAGGAAGGCTGGCTGAGTGGAAATTCTACAACTAGAAGGAAAGAGAAAAGCACACTGAGACTCAGAGGAGGTGCGGAAGTTAAGTGCAGAGGTACGGAGGACTGGCAACTGAGGACACAGTTGTCTTTTTCAATCGGGAGGGAGTCTCAAACTCCCGACTACTCTGAACTCCAGTTCTGGGTGAGTCTCTGGGGACCCAGACTCATACGGGGAGAAACTGAACTGTCTGGCATCGGTCAGAACTAGAGGGCGGCTTTCTCTCAGAGGTGCTTGCAGTGATTACTGGGACACTGAGACACGGGGCCTCTTAGGGTAGGACTGAGGAGCAGTCATAGCTGTTTGCTCCGCCCTGTTGATCCCCTAAGACCCCACCCAAGCTGTGTGCAGAGGCTTTTGCATATGAAAGGCCTGGCCCTTTGCAATCTGAAAATTACCTAACAAACTGGAGCTGGGTCAGAGAGACCCAGAACTTCCAAAAGAAGGCCCAAGGCCACACAGCAGCTTGCATTGCTTCACAGCTGGGCCTCATCTGGGCATCTCCAAACCCCAAGCAAAGAGGAGGAATCTGCACATCTCTCCATAGCTCCTGCTGGGTAGCCTCAGGCAGAGGCTAAATTAGCACCTCCTTAGATATCCAAGAGCCAGTGTACCCAGTGGTCAGAGTGGGACCATCCAGATTACAACTCCTCAGATCCATAAGGGACACACTCAGGAGGACGACTCAGTGAGCACCAAAGCCCCACTGAAGCAAGTCTTGCCCCAGAAGGGTGTCTCCAGCACAGAAGTCCTCTCACTGCAGACACAGCTGATTCTCACAGTCAATTGGCCTGGAGGTCAATTCATCCCAGGGATACCTACAAAAATCAAGGCTTAACTATAACAAGACTGTGCACAAAGCCCACAAGGGGGTGCACCAAGAGTGTCCACCTCAGGTAATTGGGGAGGCTGAGCTACTGGGCCCTATAGGACATCTAGCACAGAAAGCCACTCTACAACACAGGGGAGCATAAAAAATGTGGAGACAAAGAAACAGGTCACAAATGGCAGAAATGGAGGAAAACAAACTACTGGATATAGAGTTCAAAACCACACTTATAAGGTTTTTCAAGAATTTTCTAGAAATCGCCGATAAACTTAATGAGACCCTCAAGAAATCTCGCGAGACCCGCAAGGTTATGAAAAAGGACCAACTAGAAATTAAGCATACACTGACTGAAATAAAGAATATGATACAGAGTTCCAACAGCAGACCAGAGGATTGCAAGAATCAAGTCAAAGATTTGAAATACGAAGAAGCAAAAAACATCCAGCTGAAAAAACAAAAGAAAAAAGGATACAAAAATATGAAGATAGTGTAAGGAGTCTCTGGGACAGCTTCAAGTGTATCAACATCCAAATTATGGAGGTCCCAGAAGAAGAGAGAGAGCAAGATATTGAAAACCTATTTGAAGAAATGACAGAAAACTTCCCCTACCTGGTGAAAGAAATAGACTTACAAGTCCAGGAAGCCCAGAGAACCCCAAACAAAGGAATCCAAAGAGGACCACACCAAGACATATCATAATTAAAATGCCAAGAGCAAAAGACAAAGAGAGACTCTTAAAAGCAGCAAGAGAA